GATTTCCAAAGAGAATTACCAAATTTCTAAATCTTATTCATTTGTTTGTTGTATGTTTTTGGTTTTTTTGGTTTGTAAAAAAAATAAATTTTAGGTGTTGGAGAAATTGAACTGTAAGGAAAAAAATCATTTAAATAAATGTTTAGACTGTAATTAAAAAGATGAATTTTACGAGGATGGTGTCATCTTGGCCAACCAAAGCCCAAAGATGAAATTAAAGAGGGCTGATCATAGTAAATTTGATGTACATTGGTGAGCTTTATTAACTAATTTTGAGGGACACATTGATGTTGCATATTTTTCAACAGATTATTTCCTTTTATTGAAATCGGCTTTGTTTTCGGAAAACATAAAAAATTAAATAAAAATTGAAAAAAATAGGGTAAAAGAGTGACAAATCCATGAAGACTTATGTTTTTTTTTTTTTTTTTGGAGGAGCCTAATGAAAAAGTTTACGAGAGAATTTGGTGAAGGTTAAATGATGGTTCACTCAAATCAGGAATGATGGAAAATTTTAGACCATATAAACTCATATGTGGTATTATTTTAAAACCAATTAGTAATGATGAGAGTAGCACTTGGGACAAATATTTTGGTCAATATAGGTTGCAATATACTAAACAGATTAATATATATATATATATATATATATATATATATACTTTCATTTGTTTCCAACTTCCAAAGGATTTTAACGCGTCAAATAACCCAAGGCAAGAAAACAAATGGTGTAGAAACCACCAAATTTGTTTCTTGAACAGACATCATTTGATATATCTAAATCACGCGGAAAAAGAAAATCTGAGTCACACGGTGGCTTTCCCTTGCTCTCTAGCACCTCTTTATGCTTTGTTTGTTGCCTCTTGTTTGGAATGCTATTGTTACTTCCAGTTCTTTCTCACTTTCACTTTCCATGGTGGATGGAGAGTGTTTTTTCACCACCCACACAGAGGATCCATTTCCATCATTTGCCATATCAACTTATGGAGAAAAATCACCACACAACTTATCCAAAGCAATTGAGGAAAAGGAATGTAAGAATTTTACCTATTCCGGTGTCATCCAGCAAATATTCCATCTCGTAGAGGCTTCGATCTATCACGAATGAGATGTTTTGTCAATACATTATAATAAACACCATCTTTTAATTCCTAAGGCGGAGGTAAGTCGCAAGAGTTTTCCTTATGAACCACCTATGCTAACCATTCTTTTTGTCATTATTGGGCGAAGATCGTGCCAGTGTGATACACAATACTAATTCTATAGGTATAAAAAATTTTGTGGGAGATATTGAACTTTAATGCAACCAATTTTCATAGCTTTCTAAGAATGAGTAATGTCAATAAATGGCTACTTCAATACGATAGATATGATTCCAAGTTACGAAGATTTGAGAGGTGCATTCTTCAATATGTGTACAAAAAAACGCATGCATTTGTCATGGGCAAGTATGAGTTGTGGCATTTTGGTAGATGAAAAGCGAGATTCAAGGAAAAAAAACTTCATAATGTTTAAGCAGCTTTCTTGAGAGGCACAGTTTATATTTTATCGGCAAACATATATCTCCAGTTTTGATAAAGATATTAAGTTCATGATGTTACTTCCTGATGGAGCTCTAGATGAAGTTGGTGTTGAGAAAAATGGTTCAAATTTTCACATACATAGTGTCAGCCTAGAATGTTGAAGTTGGCAAGAGACTCGTAGAATAGTATAGAACTATGTTTTGTAATGTATGTGACTCCCATTGCATTGAACTCATGTTGAAGAAAATTGGTAGAATAAAAGACAAGAAATACTAGTCAAAGCCAAAACCATATCAAGGTACGAATCAAGTCTAGATTCCCCCTTTCCTTACCAATCAAGTGATAAAGTTGTGCTTACGTTGTGCTTACGTTGTTCTTACTCCACACATACTTAGCTTTCTATAATTTCTGTTTTCTCCTATAAACCACTGATGTCCCATACTAACTGTTATCTCGCATTTTAATAACAGATTCTACCTTGATCAACCACGCTGAAAGGACTCGACGTTGATCAGTTGTAAACTAAGAATGGAAGATTGAAAAAGGAAGAGAAACTTCTCATTTACAAACTAAGATATACGCATTAATGATTGGGCGAAGATCGTGCGGTTAAACTTGTTTTCTTAAAAGATAGTTCTTAGAGTCGGACAAGTATCAAGGTTTCTAAAGAGAATTACCAAATTTCTAAATTTTCTTTATTTGTTTGTTGTATTGTTTTTGTTTTTTTGGTTTGTAAAAAGTAAGTTTAAGGTGTTGGACAAATTGAACAATAAGGGGGAAAAAAATCATTTAACTACGTTAAGAATGTAATTAAAAAGCTGACTATTATTAGGATGCTGTCATCTTGGCATGCATATATACGTGTTTGTGGGTGCATTGCATGGATGCATTAATATGTAAATAAATGATTAATATTAATACGGGATTTAGCTTATTTTCTCTAAGATAGATTTAAGGAAAAAAAAAAAAAGATTGAATCACGTGAAGCAACTCCTCACATTTGAACTATATGTAATATGCATTAAATTTTGGGCGATAATCTTGCTGCTAAATTGTAATTTCTGTTCTTGTAAATTATTGTTATTGAGCAATATTTGTTCATTTTCTCTTTTGGTAGAAGTTTAAAATATTTTACTCATGCGTCCATGGTTTGTTTATCAAAATATCTATCATATGCGTCTAGGGTTTTAGCTCAAACCCTTTGCATTGTTTATGTGTCAAATCAGATTTTGTAACTTTGTTTTTCGAGAAATAAAATAGTTTTTCCGGTATTTTCAATTTGCTATATGGGACAATGAAAATTTCCCATCTCATTAAAATGGTCCATCGCCTTATCGTCAAGTTAGAAACATTGAGAGCTAGTATAGAAGAAAATTACTTCATTAGTCTCAAAATGATTGTCTAGTTACTTTTAGTTCAATTCATATTAAAATTAAATTCAAAAAATAGACAACCATTTTGAAACGGAAGGAGTATTTTTTAAAAAAAGAAAAAATTGACGGGCAATGCCTGATCTTATTGATGAGAATAAGAAAGATACATAAATAATGTACGAGTTTAAAGAACCAACGTACAATAATTCCTACTTAAATTTTGGTGGTTTATTGCGAATAGTGAAAGAAAATTATAGTAATAAACATGCGTTTAAACTCTATCTAATGCAGAGATAAAATGTGAATCCTTGATTTAAATATGTTAGACCTTGAGCCTTAGATGAAAGATCTCTAACGTAGTTGAATTCCCTTGTTTGAAAATTGGAAGTTAAACGTTTAAGGAAATCTGTCTCTACTAGTTGTCTCTGTAGATATGAATTGTAGAGTAAGAGCAACGTTTGAATAATTGATAAAATTGTCTCAAACACCAATTTCCATGGAAAATCATGCACTTTTCCAATCAAATCTGCCAGTACTCCATTATCTATTTGCTCAAGAACATTTGCTAAACGCATTTCTTCACAACGTTATAATATGACAAGAACACCTTGAGTTTCGGCCTTTGAAAAGTATAAATCAAAATTAAATCCAATCTCTAGTTGTCGGAGTTTCCGAAGCGGAAGAATAGGCCCAAGATGTTCTAGTATAAAGTTCAACAAGTAGGAAGTCTATACGTACAAAGTCAATAATTCGATATCAGTACTACACATTCAACTTCATTCCATGAAATGTTCACCTTTGTCATTCTACTTTGCACCACCTTTGTCAGATCTATATTCCGGCCGTTCATTTATCTTCATTCTAAATATTTTAACCAAGTAAGAAAAAGTATCTCAAGGAATAATCCAAATTAAATTTCGAAATTTACATATAAAAAGTATTGGATCAAGCCCAATTATTGAAATATCCTATACAAACCTCATAAGAATGTTGCGGATTCAAAGCCATTCTAGAATATCCCAATAATTACATGTGATCCAAAACTTTTTAGACGGGCATTCATCTAAAACTTTGGGTCACTACTACAATATTTGGTCGTATCACTAATATACATCTTTTTCCTTTTTTTCTTTGACATTTATACATATGTGATAACAATGTTGAGAATTACATGTGGTAACATTAGGCTTTGTTTGGACAATCACTCATTTTACATTTTAACTCATTTTACCTCTTAAACACAAAATCCAATGGAAAAAAAAAATCATCCAAACAACTTTCTGATTTACATTTTAAATTCCAACTTGAAACACTTTTTGTGACCATTTTAGAACAACAAATAGTTCAGTGACAAATTTGGCAGGATTCCATTGTTGAGTGATTGTTTTTTGGAAAATTTCTTTTTTGCAGTGACAATAATTGACAGTATTTAATTGTTTAGTGATACTCGTACTTGATATTTTCAAAATGTAGTTCAAAATATTTTTTTCAAAACCTTGTTTGGACGTTATCTTATATTTCATTTTGCCACTTAAAAGTGGAAAGTGTTTCAAGTTGAAAACTAAATGAGAAATGAAAATGATGTTTGGATGGTATTTTGAGCAAAAAGTTGGTTGGATGTTGGTTTTGAAAAAAATATTTTGAACTATATTTCGAAAATATCAAGTACGAGTCATTACTAAACAATTAATTACTGTCAATTATAGTCACTGCAAAAAAGAACTTTTCCAAAAACAATCACTCAACAACGGAATCCTGCCAAATTTGTCACTGAACTATTTGTAGTTCTAAAATGGTCATTACACTAACAAAAATTGTTTCAAGTTGGAATTTAAAATGTAAATCAGAAAGTTGTTTGGATGATGTTTTCTTTTTCATTAGGTTTTGTGTTTAAGAGATAAACTGAATTAAAATGTAAAATAAGTTGACAAACAAACAAGACCAAGTCATTATAGAATATTCCAATAATTGGGCTTGATCCAAAAGTTTTTAAATGGCCTTCCATTCAAAACTTTGGATCAATTCTACAATATTTGGGTCATGTTACTCATACATTTTTTATTTTTATTTTTTTTGAAAAATGTCACTCACACACATTAATCATATTGATGATGAAGTTTGTTGACGCATATAAGAATTGGAAATTGGCTTGACCAATTTTGACTAGATTGTACAAGTTTTGTCCAGTGTCTATTCCTTCCTTTACTGTTGCAACCTGCGAGCTGCTGGCACACACAGTCACGCAGTAAGCTAGAGGCGCGTGGTGGTGATTGGAGCTTCAAATCTGGATTTGTGGTTTCTTTAAAAGCAACAGCTTTGTCTGAGTGGGGAGGAGGAGGCCATGGAGAAGGAGGGCCATGACACGCCAACATCAGAGGCCCACCAGGTAGAATGTTTGAGACAAGAATAAAAATTCCATTCTTCTATGCACATTAAAGATATGTTTTTTTTTCATCATGGGTCGGGTTGTTTCTTGTGTTTTGTGTTAGAAAGTTTCATTCTTGGTCATCAATCCCCACATTTGTGTTTTCTGTGGAACAAGCCATCATCCGGTAAGTTTTAAAATGTATTTTATGTTCCACCCTTTTTTCATCAATCCCACCACATGTGTTTTACGTGAACTTCTTGTACCTCCCCTGTTTCTAGTAATTCTTGCCTACAGCGAATTGTAGAGTTGGTGTATGATTGATTCAGGGTCTTGGTGTAGTGTAGATTTTGAAAATCGAGCTAAGCAATGTGAGTATTTTGGGGAGGGTCGTGGAGGTGGTAACTGAAGTGAGGTTTTTAGATTGATAAAGATCGAAGAATGAGTTTGAAATCTAGAATTGTGGGGTTTAATTTAGGGATTAGGGGTGATTTAGTACATAAAGAATCGTGGGTCTAGGAAAATTTGCTCTTTCGACCCTCAAACTACACCGTAAAGTAGCACCATTAGAGAGACAAAGAATGCTCTTTTTTGTTGTTCCTTTTGTTATCTTCAGACACGAAGTTTGATTCTTTTGTGAAATTACGTTAATTTAAGCTGTTGGAGTAAGACTATTACACGGTGCTAGAATTATTGCTATTTGATTGGGAGTTGACTTTCTTGGGCAGTCTATGGTTATGTGTTCCTCTGACTGTGGATTCAAAGATTGTAATGCTCCCTCTGATCTTGTTTAAAAATGAAACTCAATTCAAAATTTTTTGGGCAGTTTTTGTCCTGTTGTTTCAAATTGTACGATGGCTGCTAATATTACATAGTCATGGGAAGGGGGCTCTGTTCAGTTACTCACTGGTGGAAGAGATTATTTTCTTAAGCTGAACCCTTCTTCCATAGATTGAAATGACCTTCAGGGTTGAACCTGCTGCTTTCTTGTTTTCTTGTTATTTTATGTTCACTTCATTCCACCTTTTGCTCTTCCCTGTCTGTCTTTTGAATATTCACGGAAGTTTAACTTTCGAATTGAAGGCTTTTGTGTAATAACTGAAAATGACAATAGACGAGTAAGCCTACCATCCACTACGAAGAGTCGACTATAATGATGATAGCAGTGCTCCTGCCTTAAAAATTAGCAATGCTTTGATGGGAAAAATGAGATGTTTTTACTTTTACATATGTGCTCTCTAAATAAGATGAGAAACTAATGCAAGTTTTCTATTACCTTTCAAAACTTATTTCTCCTTTTGCTTAAATTCTTTTGACGCATCATTCACAGTGGATGATTGATACGCTGGTTATTCATTTTCTGATTTCCATGGCCAGGAAAAGATGGGTTGAACTTTGAATGCTAAATTAATATTTACAAGTTCTATTTACAACTTTCGCGTGTTTCTTTACGGAAAAAATAAGGTTTCCACAGAGCGATTGATGCTTTCTAAGTTTACTTTATGACCTTAACTGCACTGAATCAAAATATTTCATGAACTGACATAGAGCAATCAAAATCTTGAAAAGGATTTCTGACTTTTGTCCTCTTCTGTAGGCTATTTGTTGTGATATCTGTGGTGATGAAGGTGTCCGTGATGCAATTGTCACTTGCATTGGATGTGGTGCTCATGAACATCTGTAAGATCTCTTCATATACATGCATCAAGACTACTTACTCTCACATACTTATCTTGCCTGTGCATGCTTAGGTGGCATTATTAGTTGCAATTTAGAGTTTAATAGTTTATCTCTTCTTACCCCCCCCCCCCTTCTGCTTGGCAAGGTTATTTTAGTCGCACGTATGTATATCGTGTTCATTTCTATTACCCATGGCTTCTTTAGCATCTCAATACCAGAGGATGGTCTACAAGTTTTCAACACCATCCTTGTGGACAGTAGAGCAATTTTTGTAGGCTGTGCAGTTGATACTTTCTTTTAAGCCCAGTTGTGCACGATTGTCGGATTTATCTTATTCTTAAGATTCGGCTCCTTGTTCTTCTAGCCTTACCTTCAGCAACTGAAATATTTAAGAATTTATTTTCAATGGTAAATCAATCAAGCGCCCTTTCATGTGTTGAACGAAATCTGTCCATGTTAGAGTTCAGATGTGCTTCTAGTTTGCGCACCTATTCACCTACTTGTCCTTGTTAACACAAGTTATACATGATCAAGCTCCTTTTCATGTATGAACTAAATCTGTTCACATTAGTGTGTAGATATAATTTTTATTTGTGCACCTAGTCACTTATTGTTCCTGCTAACACAAGTTGTTATATCATCTCATTTAGGATAACAGGTCCTTTTTCTCTATTTATTTCTTTCTTTTTATTTTTTAAATTTTTCTTTTTTCTCAATTTCACTAGTTATTGCTTGCGCATCGTCCAGTATGAATATCCAGAAGTCTGGTATTGTGAGGATTGCAAAAGCCAAAAGAAAAAAAAAGAAGAAATTTTACCAAATCCTGTTAAAAAGGAAGAAATTGCTATGCAGCCAACTGGAAACATGTATAAAAAGCTCCCAAATGATTCAAGGCAGATCTGCATGGAACTGAAAAACAAGATCATCACTGGCAAAACAAAATTTCTTTCTGCTGAGGAGGTTATTGGGCTAACTTCAGGAGCTAAGACATGTGTTTCCCCGGTAAAAGTTGTCCACTCTAATTCTGTGATTAGAAAGAATGCTACACCTGCGTGCAAAGGCACTATAGTCAAGTCCAATGATATACCTTCAATGTCTTCCAAGCCTCTGGCTAAACCCAATCCCCCTTTAACACCTCCACCTTTGAAGCATTTCAATCCTCCCATGGCTCAACCAGTGCCATTATCTTTCAAAGGATTAAAAGGTTATTAACTGCATCACATTTGCACAAATTTTATTTTTTGAATACTGATGTTTTGTTGATATTTAGGGGAAAACTATCGGGTTCGCTGAAGGATGTGCTATTTGAAATTAGTTTAGCTGACTGACTGAGCCTTTCAAAACATTTATCTGTTCAGTATTAAATTGTCTGATGGGACGGTTGGTGTATCTTGTAGTTCTTAGGTTTTTCTATAACAAGCTATAAGCCTCTCGAAAAAAAAGGGGGCACATACCTCTGGTTCCACTATTTCATCTTGCATCCATGTCTCCAAAATTTCAAATTAGCATTTGGAATGCATGTGGCATTGTGTACTGATGTTAAATTTATAGAACCTTACTAATTTATGGATTATCCGTTGTTGTAGAAGCTAATCATTGGGAAATATGTTTTGAATGATATTTGTTACTTGTGTGACAGGAACGAATTTAAATGATGTCCCTCCGGAGAATCTTATGAATGACCAGAATCAAGCTGATTCAACTAACCATACTCAGAAATCAAAAGTCAGTCACCAAACTCCTTGTAAGGAGAAGAGGCAGAAGGAACAGCCTACGGATATGCAAGAGGATACTGCAAAAATTAAGTCGGAAAAGGAAAAATATGTGCCAAAAGTTGAAGCTGCATCAGTTATGCATTGTCATGAAATTGTTATATCAGGCAAGATGATTTGAGATTTCCACTACTTATTCTTGCTTTAATTAGGTTAATATGCTTTGATTAGGTTAATATGAGATGTAGAACAATGCTCATGCTAAATTCACAAATTCTCTTATGTTCTCAATTATAATGTTTGATTGTAGAAATGATGTATTTTCTTCAGGTAGAGGTACAATACTGATGTTAAGACTATAGAATCGTACTAATTTATGCATTATCCATTGATGTAGATGTTAAATCGATTAGAAAATATGGTCTGAGTGGGATTTTATTGTCTATCAGGAACAAATGTTAATGACGTCCCTTTGGAGGATCTTATGCATGGCCACAATCAAGCTACTTTAAGTAACCATATGCAGAGACCAAAAGACAGTCACCAAAAATTTTGTGTGGAACAGCCTAAGGGTGTGCAAGGGGATACTGTGGAAATTAAGTTGGAAAAGGAAGAAAATGTGCAAGAAGCTGCGGCTGCATCAGTTATGCATTGCCAGGAAATTGTTGTATCAGGCAAGATTATTTAAAATTTCCATTACTTCTTGCTTTAAGTAGATCAACATGAGATGTAATATAATGCTCATATTAAATTCTTAGCACAAATTTCCACGTGTTCTTAGTTTTAATATTTGATGTTGAAATGATATCTTGTCTTTAGGTAGTGGTGCTTTCCATGATTTAGAGATTGAAAGGACTATTACTTCAGTCAACAGCTTTGTTGATCCCAGTTCTGAAGCTTCCTGGAAGTGAGTAGCAAATGTTCTTTGCCTTCTAACTTTTATTCTGTGAATAACATCTAATGTGACATTGCTGCCGAGGTTAATTCTTAATTCATGTCATGAAAATCAGTTATACGATGTAGTCCGTTTTGCTTTAACTCTTTGGTACTTGGACATTTCCTTTTAATTGCTCAACCTTCTTTTGTCGCTGCTTGTCTGTTTTCCTGCTGTGTAAACTATTCGTGATTTTTCATCGTCTGTCATATCTGTTTCCGTTAATTACATCTAGAGTTCAATTTTGTTGCAATTTGGCTTAGTGCTAGGTCCATAGCTTTTCCTATTACTGACTTGACCTAATGGTAGCATTGCCAATTTGTAAGCTTAGAAATAAAAGCGGTGTTCTAGACTCTTCTTAAAGTGTAATGGAGTTGGTTCAACTGCTATGGTGGCACCCTTTAGTTTATGTTACTCGGATGAATTAATTTGCCAGAAGACATTCCCCCTAGATAAACTGAGTCTGTAGTTACATTTTATGTTCATACGTTGTGCTTATCTACCACCAAACTTAGTGGATCCTAAGTTCAGCATACTGCTAGAAGTTCCATATGTAATATCGTATGGTTGTACAGCATGTCTATTGAGCATACCAATTTTCGTTTGCAAGACAAAATTGTTGGTCTGCCTAATTGTTCTACTACCTTTTACAGCGGAATCTTCAAAGTTCTCACTTCTGAAATAGGGGATATCAGTGATGAGATTGAGGCTCATCCTCCTTGTAGAGTTCGTAAAAAGGTGTACGAGTTAACAAAGCTGATGCCTGACATTCTTCAGTTTGAGCTGGTTCCACGAATGGATCTTTGGGAGGATTTGTCCCAGCACTTGTATCTGGACAAAAGAGACATAGGTCTCTATCTTTTTCCAACAGACATAGAGAGGTCAGTTACAATATCATAACTAAAAAGTGAAAAGTGTCTTTTTACATGTATTTCCTTACTTTTGATCCTGATTTTATTTTTTTACTTTTTGTTGACCGAAGATGGGAGCAGTATCTCAAATTGCTAAAGCATATGGAAGCAAAAGACTTTATAATGAGGACTATAGTGGATAGCTTGGAGCTGTTAGTGTTTCCATCTACCCTCTTGAGTACAGATTGCCAAGGTACGATATTTTTTTCGGCTGGGAAATTTTCTGGCTGTCAGTCATTGCTCCGTTCTAATGTCATTTTTTCACTAAAGATGTTGCCTCATATATCGGGCCGGCGAATCATGAATTCCTGATGTGAATGAGCTGGTGAATCACGAATTCTTTTTCTGTGATTCTCTGAATCAGATAAAAATTTGTTGCATAAAAAAGATATCAATTTTTTCCTTCATTCTTCTCTCAGGCAGTTAAATTTGTTTTCACATCACCATGCTCTTTTCGACCCTGATTATTCTTACATTATGGGATTAAGGTTTTTGCCTGTGATATTCTTGTTATTTTAGAAAACTTTGGATGAAATGGAATTCCATACGAGGAGTTTTCATGTTACGCTCTTAAGAAATTTCTGTTCTTTAATCTGTTGAATGCAGCTTAATCTTTCATATACTGATTTTACAGAATGGAATGCACGATGTTTTCTTTGGGGAGTGTTTAAGAAGATTAAGCCCTGCCACGCCATTCCAATCAATGCATTGGACATGAACAATGATGAGGTGGACATGGATATAGATATGATTGGCGGAATAGACGTTGGAACAACAGACATTGTTACCGCGACTGAATTATTTAACTCGACCCCACCAGACATGTCAGAGGACATGGAGATCGACCTGATAGGTGAGGAAGCCGTTGGTAAAACAGATATAGTGATTCCGAAAGAATTCATGCATGTCACCACAGTTGCGCGCATCACTGACATCCCGCCTGGTTATGAGAACAAGCGCTGGAAAATGTAGCACTCTTGTGTTTTAATGGATAAGAATGGGCACATTACTGCCATAAACTGATAGACTGATTGCATTAAGGGAGGCTTGACATTGTAAATTGCCAGAGCGCGCTTTTCTCAGCGACGAATTCATCAAAACTTGGAGCTGATTATATGACTCGTGATGCTGCTATAGAGTTTCATAGTTAACCGCTCTCTGTGTCATAGGGATTGTTAGCCATTCTATTGAGCCGTTGATCTTACTTGACTACTCAATAGTCAATGGATTCTAGTCGTTGGAACCATTTACTTGTTTCCGATTTTACATCTTTATGGATATTTATGTCCCCGAAAAAAAAAAAAAAGTCTAATTTGTTGAATATCATTTATTCGTTTCTGATTTTGTATCTGTGTGGCTAATAACACTTTCTCTGATTTAGAAAACGATCCCTATTTGTTGATTTAAATGTTGTAAACAATGTGATTCTGTTTTTGAAAGAGCACGAGTACATATAACTTCTATTGGTTGACTGGGTTGAGACCACCAAAATTTATTAATTTAAAAAATTATTGAATAAACGATAAATTAATAAACTAGTAATTTAAAAATTTTTCATGAGAAATGAAGAACTGATACGAAATTATTTAATTTTAAATTGTCTTAACAACCGAATCAATCAAGTATAAAAACTCTCCTAATTTCTAAAAATTCATATGTAATTCATATCATCTCCAGAGATTAAAAAACAAATATCAATAGTTCATAGTTTACTCAATATTCATAGTTATTATTATAATTATTTTGATTTTAGGGTATTTATTAATTTATGGTATTATTGGGACCTATAAATTATAAAAAAAATAAAATATTATTATATTATAATTTTATTGATTTTTTTTTTCACTTTTTGTACTAGTCCCAAATTATAACCAAAAAAATTATTAATTGTTCAAATTTATTAATTTATAGATTATTAATTCATGGGTACTTAGTTTTGTTGCCTTCAATGGATCATCACCCAGACCAAAGAATTTTCAAACGGTTTTACTACTTAAATAAATGCAAAAATCTTTTCGTTTATGGTTTCAAAACATTCTTAAAAGTTGGAAGATACTTGACTAATTTAGTCCAACTATTTCTCCTATTACATCCTCATCATACTCATACTACATAATCATCATACTATATTATAATTAGGGAATGTAAGATTGAGAGCTTGGTAGTCCTTGTGTGTATTTCACATGTGTGATTTCAATATAATATCCCATAACTCCTAGCTTTATTGTCTCTTCTATTTCAAACTTTTAATCTTTCATTTCATCATCATTTTATTCTCATTCTCAAAAATACTTGTTGGAAAATAGCTTTGCTAATTGATTGAGCAAGTTAGTACTTAATGAAAATTTATGGCAAAGAAAATGAATAGTTTAAAATGGTAGGAAGATGAAGGTCTTTTCAACATTAATGTATTCAATCGTTATTGAAAATTAATGGTTAATCTTCTACTGGAAACAAATTATAACTAAATATAAATATTCGAGATGTGAGAAATCATTACACACAAACAACACAAGTTAGCATGATAGCCTCGTGCATTGCATTCATCGTGATGGCATGAGTCATGTCTTATTCACATATCAGGTTAGCATTCTGAAATTTTTTTAGCATATTAGAAATGAGCAAGAAGATTAATGAAGTTTTGAAGAGTCTTTAAATAAATTCTACTATTTGCAAATTTGATTTGCTTTTGGTTTCTCTTAATGTACATGTTTAGAGAAATAAATAATTAGTTTATAATTTGTTGTTGATTAATATATTTATACATATGATTGTTATATTAGTTTAACCACGTTTTTCCTCTAATTTTGGTGAAGAGATTCAAGTTTTTCTCCACACTTATCTTTCTCCCAGGATGATGTCGAAGGATTGTCTCAGAGAAGGTTCCAATGACATCAAAGGTGGGCTCCACCTTTTTTTACTCTTATAATCTATGGTTCAATATTATTTTTATTTTTTTTAATTTATTATTATTAGCCACTTTTAATCAGTGGATGTATATATATAGTTAAGAAAAAAAATAAAAATTCCTTTGTTACAAAGTACAAAGATGCAATCAAATTGCATCCCTCAGAAAATAAACATGAAAGTTATAATTGAGTATATAGTGAATTAGATATTTGAAGTGTTTTAATAATCAAGAATTTAACTATCTACATCACTACAAAGAAATTTGAGTTGGCATAATATTTGTTCCCCTCTATTAGTTGAGATTTTTTTTCTTCCCTGCACAACAAGATTTTGTTTGGGTAATTTCATCATAGTACATGCATATTTTAGAAACATTATAAGTATATTTTCATTATTATACCAAAATTTCACTTCTATAATGTCTATTTCTTTCAATTAAGTATATTCTTTCCTTTTGCTTCATATTAACTATGCATTTTTTAATTTTAATATTACAAGCATGCGCGAAGCGCGTATTATGCCCCTAGTAATCAACATATATTATAATTGGGGGAATGTGATCTTGGTTTTGGTAGTCCTTCCTCTTACATTTATTTTGATTTTTCATTGTATTTGTGTGAAATTTAATGTTTAGTGGAAAATTAAATATTAGAAGAGAATGAAATATACAGAACTTATGATAATTTACTACTTATTATTATTGTTAGAATTTGATACATCACAAAGTAGTTGTTACAATCTTAACTTAAATTTCACAGTTCTTTGCATTATATTTTGTAGACTTTTCACCTTTCATCTCCCTCTCATTAAATTATATTTTCATTTCTCATCAATAAGTAGATTTGATAGGCCAAAAAACAGTTCTGCTGATTCTAATCCTATTGAATTCCTTAGTATGTTTTTCTTTGTATTCTAAATTTTTCAGTATATATATAATCCTATATAGTGTATGAATTTTTTCGTATCTTTCTTTTTCTTTCTTAGAGTCTTTGTATTTTATGTTTTGGGACCTCTGTATTAAAAGTTTCTTGAAGGTAGTCATTTTTCATTGTTCATCTTCATCTTTTTTTTTTTTTCCTTCTATTATTTAGTTTTTATCTTGATTCAGTTTTTCCTTTTTAGGTTGTTCCTTTTTTTTGGGTGAAGCATAAATTAGATTGTATTTTATTACTTAGTTTATATATCCTTTTTTTTTCTACTCACATTTGGAATACTATGTCGTTAAAATCAAAAGTGCCACGTTTATATCATATAGATTTTGTAATGTAGTCGTGAGTCAAAATTTGTCTATTATGAACAAATTTCTTTTATAAAATTTGTATAGTATTATTATGTATATACCGTACGCGCGAAGCGCGTAAAATCCATCTAGTAATAATAATTGCAAAATGTTGACTGAATTTGGTACTTCTTCTTTTAAGTGTTAACTAATCTTTTGTTCTTTTACTAAGAAAATGAAAAAATGTAATTGCAAAATGTTGATTGCGTTCGGTAATCCGTCAATTCTTTGACCTTCGATCTCCTTTCACTAATAACTTTTTCTTTAATTTTTATTTTAAAGATTATAAACAAATAAATATTTATGATGAGGTGAATTTGATCAACAAAAAAATCTCTTTAAGTATCAACTATGTTTTTTTCACTATTTTTTATCAAGAAAATGAAAAGACGTAAATGTTGTGATTTGGTAACATTTTAATACTCAAACTTTTGATTTCCTTTCGGTAGTAGTTTCCTCTTTTATTTTTATTTTAAAGATTATATGCAAATTAATCCTATATATATATATATATATATATTAAAGGAGAATAGTCTGCAGGAATGAATCAAGGATAGTTATAGCATCAACAGCTTTTAGGGACATGTGTCTCTATCACGTTTGAGTTTCATTAAACGGTGAAAGTAATTTGGTAAATATGTTAATCCGAATTTTACTATTTTAATGTTTTACCTTATTTATTTCCGAAAAAATAAATAATGTGATCATTATCTTCTTTAATACGTTTTCGAATTTAAAATATTTAAATTTGAAAAATAGATATCAGAATCAAATCTTCCAAATCTCTAATCTTCTTTAATACGATTCATTTAATTTTCTATAATACGCTCTCTTTCTATATAAATAGGATGAATGTAAAATCATTCACCAAAATAGATCTTTTTCTTCTATCTCTTTAAATTCTCTCCTCTGCCTCTTACGTCACCGCCCTCTGCTGTTGCTGCTGCTGCCGGCTACTGTCATGCCCTCTGTCGCCGCTGCTATCAGAGGTATTAAGCTTGATATCTTACTCTCTTTTCTTCTCTTTTGTTTTTTATTCCTTTCTGTTTGAATAAAAACTTTCAACTCACTGCATATATAAGTCAATTCAACTATTGCACTGATTGATTTGGTTTGAACGATTTAGTTTGGCAGTTGTGGTACCGGTAGTGATTATAGGAAAGGTTCGGTTTTTCCCCTCTCAATTTACACATCCACACAACGTGTGAACAAGTACTAGTATTTATTATTAGGTAGATAAATTTGATTAACCAAGAAATCCTTTCAATCATTCTTATCTCTTTAAATTCTTATTGTCTTTTCTTCTTCTCTTATTTTTATTTTAACACTTTATTAGTGATAATTTAAGAGATTGTTTCATTACTCAAAAGGAATACTAATGATGCCTTCTTTTGAAGATTATATGATGGAGGTAATGGCTATTTGATCCCGATTCCTACCATTATTGCGTTGCGTAAAAAAATAAAGATTGGAGTTTAACTTTCCCAACTACAATTCAGTAATGATAATCCTGCATTAAATTATCTTCAATTTATCTTGTATTAATCAGAAAAAATTTCAAAAGGCCGCCCAAATATGGCGCCTCAAAATTTATGCAAGAGGAATTTTTTTTCTTCTTTATATGTAGCGTCCTCCACATCAGATTCATCAACCTAGTTTTTGCTTTTACAGACTTTTGAAGTAGAGGGTATTAATGTTCTTCTATCTATATTTTTCAAATTAACAATACGGGGCAAAGAAAGAAAGAAAGGTTGTTTATCTTCTTTCTTTTCAGCCGTGAACATTCAACACCCAAATCCTTTTCTTCGTTTTTCAGCATTCAATTCAGCACCCAAAGAACCCATCTAAGTTTTTTCAAATGTTCAACAATAAATGGGGTGTAAAACTTTTCTTGACGCGTATTTTATTCATTTTGTTGAGAGTTATTTTAATAATGATTTTTTTCAATATTGATTTTAGTGAATTCATTTCATTAATTATTATTGTGCAAAATTTATTTCTTTTTATAATTTATATGAATTCCCATACACATGTAAAAATCACGCATCAATCGTCAAGTAATTTTCATTCCAATATATATTTAAATATATCAAAAGTAATGAAAAATTTCTTTAATAAATGGCTGGTTTCCCATCAATATGAAATTTTGTTTCCTTGATTCCGTTTCTAAATAAAAAAAATACAGTCTAAGAGTTTTGTGTTTTGAGTTTGTTAATCTATAGTTTTCAATAATAAAATTTTTTTAACATTT